GTCCCGTGTCCCTGCCTTGCCCACATGTGCAGCCTGGCCGGGCCCTGGAGGCTGCAGGGCCACACAGGGTGGCACAGGCCTTGCATCCACGCTAGGATCTGCTGTGTGGGCAGTGAGAGGTAAGGGAAACAGGAAGCACCAGCCGTGGGTGTCAGTCAACACCACTGCCATTACGCGCTTTATTAGCAGCACAGTCAGTCAGGCTGGCTGGACCCCGGGTCCTTGTTCACCCCCACAGAGCGGGGAACTTTCCACGTGCCCCCCCATTCGGTTTCCCCAGCAACCCTTCCAGCTGGAGCTGTGACCCCTGCTTTCCAGTCCAGGAAACAGCCTGGTGCAGACTGGACAGCCAGAGTCCCGGCGCTGTCCCTATGGCCTGGATCGGTTTGCCTTGCCAGCCTCCTGCAACTCCCGATGGGCTCGGAATGCTCCCCGCTTGGCTTCGGAGCTCTGCTGATGCAGAAACGCCGCGTGGAGTGACTGCTCGCCAGGACCACATCAGATCCTGTCCCTCCTGGCTCCTCAGGCCACACACCTGAGGCCACTCTCGCTCCAGGACTGGGGACACCAGGCTGTGGCGAAGCCACTGAGACCCATCTTTCTCTTTCCCATGAGGAAAGGGAAAGGGCCCCCATGTCTGCGAGCCATGTCACCATGCTGCTGCCAGTGACTCCAGTTGGCCAGGCTGATCCTGGTCACATGAGCAGAAAGTCAACAGGGGTCACGCCGGGGTCAACAGGGGTCAGGCACCACAGCGCTGGGACAAAGGGGAGAGTGGCAAGGGGCCCAGGCACAGAGAGCGGCCTGACTTTTGTCCTGCCCCTGTCCAAGCAGCCCCGGGAGCCCCAGGAGAGCAGTGAACCCAGAACTCCGAGCTCATCTATCTTGGGAACATTCTAGAAGGTTAGAAGACTTTCCACACCAAAAGGTCTGGTTGTGAGATTTCCTCTGTAAATCACAATGTGTTTTGGCACCTTCTTCCTCCACCCTCCAAGAATGACTGTGAGTCCCTCAAAAAATCACCAACCGCACCCATAAACAGATGTTACACTGTATACTCGGGGGAGACACATCCCCACTGTCCTCGTAGCCTTCACACAGAAGGGCTGAGGAGAGGGCAGCAGCCTTATCTGTGCCTGCCTGGCCGTGACACACCACCTTTCCTGTCTTTGGGACTCACGTTTCTTGGAAAGACTGCTAGGGTGCTGTAAACAGGCACAGCAGGAGTCAGGCTCCTCTCTGCGGATGGAAAGAGGATCAGAGAAGAAAGCATTCAGACAAGGGAATGATTCGTTCAAAAAAAACCAAACAGATACACTGTAATTTGGAAAAGCGCTCAAAAAAGCAATTCACACCGTCTCCAATGGGACACTTCTAGTCCCACCAATGGCAATGACAGTGGTGCGCCTTGAGCAGCACTCCATGGCTCACTCTGGCCCCGGGCCCTGACCATCCACCACCTCGTCCTTCCTGGGCCCCCACCTCAAAGACGAGAAACTGGGACCCATAGCCAGAGAGGCAGCTGAGTGGGGGTGAGCAGGGAAGAAGAGGAGGAGAGGACGGGGAAAGAAGGGAATGGACTTCCTCTGGGCTTCCTACAGAATTTCTTCTGTGTTTTCTTCTCTTTTAAAGGGGAGGAGGTGGTCGCCCAAAAGGAAACACAGGTATTTCCGTAGCTGCTCATGTCTCAGCCATCTTGAGCTCTGTGATTACAGTGTGGGGTTCTTACATGGCAAACTGTTCTTCCTAGGCAGAGTGGTTTTGGAACGATCTTTGGGAGGCTGCCACCCAAACACTGAGACTGTTTTCCTAAGGTATTGGCTCCAAGTTTCCCTTTTCTTTATACATAGCAATGAAATACAAAGAACGCCCCGGCAAATGATCACATTAAAATTCATTCTTTCCTTTCATCTGCCCCCTGTTGATCTTATAAACAGGGACATGGCATCTAAAAGCTCCAGCAGCTCAAAGACACACTTTTCTAGTGAAAGTGAACTACTTTTCACGTTCACATCTGAAAACCAAGCAGAATCTCCCTGCAAAGCTATCTGCACCCCAGGGGCCTTGCTTCCCGTGGAAGTAGGAATCTCGCCCGCTGCCCAGCTCCACAAACCCCACCCCTCCTGCAGAGCTCCCCAGACAGGCTCTCCTCTCAGAAGTCAGGGCGCTGAGCACTTGAGAGCACGGTGGCGGGAAGGGTGACGCCATTAACTCACCCTAGGGAGAGACGTGGAAGCATTCTGGGCCTTAAAAATTAACAAAGGCGTCTTAGAGAGGACACAAAGAAACGCTAAGCAAGAAGGAAAATATGGATAAGTTGGGCCTGATCACAGTCAAAACGTCTGTCCTCAAAAGATACAATTTAAAAAATAAAGCAGTAAACCGCACACAGGACAGGCATGGGCAACACCTACACCTGGACCCACAGCCGAAGCAGGGTTCTGCGGAGCAGTAAGAGAAAGAACTGTTTGATTAGAAAAGAGGCAAAGCCTAGAAGACTCAAGTCACAAAGAGAGATGTAGGAGGCCGGTGAGCGCAGGGAGGGGCTGGCCGTTCTCCACTAGGGAAATACAAATACTGAGGCTACACCGTCCCCAGGATGGCCAGCGTCCGGGTCCTGGCAATGCCACTGCCATGGGGACTGGACGGACAGGAGCTCTCGTAGCTGCTCTGAGACGAGGCAGACAGGTGTGTGGCTCACGGCGCGGCCGTTCTGCCTGTCCACTGTGTGTGCCGGGCGGGAAGGCGGTGGGCACGCAGACGCCACAGAGCCTGTCTGCAGCAATTTCCATCACTGTCCCCAAAATGCAGAAGGACACGGTATAGGATTTGGCTCAGCAAGATTAGCCAACCGTGGAGAGAACACCGAGGCCAAGAGCAGGCAGAAGAGACGCTCCGGCCACAGCAACCCTGGAGGGGCCGGGGGAACCCTAGGGGCAGGACGAGGCTGAGGCAGTGGGGACCGCCGGGCTGGAGGAGAAGAGCCTGCTTCAGTGAGCACTGCGCTTCAACTCGGCGAGCTCAGAGCTCAGACGCTGCTCAGAGACGGCTGAGGAAAAGTCCCACAACTGCAGGCCTGGGGCCTCCCCTCCCGCCAGAGGACAAGGGGCTGAAAGACACCGCGGCCTTCAACCGCACATTGCAGCGGCCGGGCACAGGGTTCCCAGGGGCTGCCCGAGGCGGAGAGCTCGGCTGGGCCTGGGCGTGGGTCAGGGAGGAACAGGCGGTGCGGCGTCACCCTGAGCACTCAGAGGGCCCGTGCGGCCTGCGCTGGGGCGTCTGTCTCCCTCTGACCTGAGCAGCCGAGCTCTGGGCCCCGAGTTCCGCCATTTTCCCTTCTGCTGGACTTGGTCACACCTTCGGGCTTCTCGCGGCTTAGGGTATTTTTTTTTCTTTTGAGGGAAAAAGTAAAGTTGGGGGTGGAAGGGCAACGCAGAAAGGGGAGCGAGCGCGCTGGGCCGGGGCCAAAGTAACCAGCTGCCTTCCAAGACAAGTCTGTCAGGAACGCACCCTGGAATTTCCTCTGCGTGTGCTCGTGGGCTCAGTTTTTCCATGAAGTCCCACGTTCCGGCAGGGGACCCAGCCCAGCTCTCGGTCAAGGCCAGGCCAAGCGGCAGATCCTGCTGCGAGACCCTTGGAAGGACCAAGAAAGGCGCTGGGAGGTCGTGGACGCGGGCCTGGGCCAGGGAAGGGCTGGGAGCCTCCCTCCCTCCAGGCCAGACACCGTGCTGACCTGAGTTCCTGGAGAAGCCGCCCAGCAGGAGGAGGCAGGGCCAGGGCCCCTGGCGTCCTTGTGTGGGTAGAACCCACTGCAGCCTCTGAGCGCAGGATGCTGAGGCCCGCTCAGGCTGGCGCCCGGCTCCTCCCTGGCCCTTTCAGTCCGGGACCACGGGCCACCTGGTCTCCTGTGAGTGGCACACGCACCAAGCAGCCCTCGGGCCTTGGCAAAGCCTGAGTTCTCCCTGGGAGGCCAGAGCGTGCAGTGCTCCTGGCTCAGCTCCTTGGTCCCTTTCTGGTCTGGGCCTCAAGGGTCGGAGCCTGTGCTTCATCCTGCCCGTGGTCCCGACCTGGCAGGTCCCCTCCGCCGACTCCACGTCTCCGCAGGACTGAAGGTGTCCTCCAGACGGTGCCATGCTGACGCACTACGCAGAACAGCCTGCCAGGGCACATGGCCCGGGAAGGCACCCGGTGAGCTGCCACCACGTGACCCAGCCGCTGCAGCCCACACTCCCTGCCGAGCCTCTCCACCCGGAGGAGACGGCAGGACGGATGCGCAGTGTGAGGCTGGCCTCCATCCCACCCAGAACCGCACAGCCCCACCTACGCCCTGCACACCACTGCCACACACATGGTGACAAGGCCCGTGCACACGAGGGGTCTTAGAACAGCCGTGCAGAGCAGGATCCAGGGCACACAGCAACCTCAGAAAATTATCACAAGCCTAGTGGCCTCGGACAACACACACACCACCTCCCAATTCACTGTGGAGGCCAAGAGCCCACAGCGGGTCTCCGGGGCAGTCCGAGGGTGGCAGGCTTGCGCCTCCTGGGAACAGGGATCTTGCCCGGCTTCTCCAGGCCACCCGTGGCGGTCACATCACCCCAGCCCTCTGTGCCCCCCTTCCCCACCCCTGAAGGACCCTGAGGTGACACTGGGCCCATCCAGGTGGTCTGGGATGTCTGCCCACCTCCAGGACCTTCCCCGAGTGACATCTGCAGTGTCACTGGCCAGGTTGGGCACTAAGACCACCGTCCCAGGATGAGAGACATCTGGGCTCATCCTGCACACAGGCCTGGCTTGTCCAAGAAGAACCAGCCTGAGCCCACAAAGGTTAGCTCAAGGTCACACTGCAGCCCACAGAGCTGGAGGTCCCTGTCCCGTCACCCCACTGTCCCCAGGGCTCCTCCCCAGCAACACTGCTCGTGACCCTGACCCGGGACAGCCAGGCCTGTTCCTCCCTGGCTCCCCCGGAAGACAGCGGGCCTTGATAAAGCCCCTACCCGGTGCTGGCCAGGGTGACGCAGACCTCAGAATGGAAAGCACATGGCTCCCAGCCTCCGGGGCTGATGACACTCGGGCCTCAGGGATCATCATCTGCTCTGGCCAGTGCTCCAAGGAAATGGCCAGAGTCATCACGCAGAGGTGCTGGAAGGACTCATCTCGGAGCCACGCGGGACTGGCGCAGCAAAGCCGGGGAGAGGCGGAGGCCGGGGCCAGCTGGGGCGTGAGGCACAGACCCTGAAGGGAAGAACAGTGTCGGTGTGATGGGGAGCAGGCTCTCCGGGCCGAGGAGGACACTCCGCCCGCCCGCCGAGGCTGCCCTGTCCCATGGGCACCCCTGCACTGGCCTCTGCCGCGTGCGAGTCACTGCCAAGACACAGAGACCAGCCGGCGAGGACGGGGAGAGGAACACGACTCCCACGGCGAGAAGAGCGGGAAAGGCTGCCTGACATCTGGTCACACCAAGGGACACCGGGTGGAGGGGAAGACCGGGCCAGTGCCCCACCGGAGAGGGCAGAGCATGCTCCAAGGCTGTGAAGACGTGGCCACACACGCTGACTCGTGTGTCTGGGGTGTGCGGGCCTGGGCTGCCCAGTCCAGCTCACTGGCCGTCCCTGCTCTCGGGAGACAGCTGTCTCCTTCGGCCTCGCCTCCCTCACTCTCTCCTTCCTCTCTCTGCCCCCCACCTCCCTCCCTCCATCTCTGTTCAAAACAGCCACCTGGGGTGCTGAGCCTGGCAACAGCAAAGCCCAGAGGGACATAGAGCCGGCAGGTGTCAGGAGCTGAGCCCACCCAGTCCACAGATGGAGACACTGAGGCCCGGGGACTTCTAGAAGCCGTCACTGAACAGATAGCACTGACTGGTGTTTTGTTTTCTCGTTTTGTTTTGGTTTTCTGAGTCAGGGTCTCACTGTGTATTTCAGGCTGGCCTTGCCCTCCCTCCTAGGTGGTTCCTCCTGTCCCACCCTCCCCAGTGCTAGGATTACAGGCGTGCACCACCTCGCCCAGCTTCTGCTGGGAAAAGGCCCGGTCACCTCTCTCACTCTGGGTGTGGGGCGGCTTAAGAAGGGCCTGATCTCCAGAGGCTTGGAGGCCATGCCCCAGAGGTCACCGGGGAGCCCTGCTGCCCTGAGGTGCCTGGCTGTGCCATTTAGACCTGGGCTAGGACCCCCAAGCACACCCGACGCAGGCCTCCACGGGCTCCCCTGAGCTGTCTGCTTCAGCGGCTCACCCCAGCCCTTTGGCCTCCTTTGTCCCTGCTAAAAGAGCAGCAGAGACCAGACTGAGGGCGCTGAGGCCACCATCACCAGAGGGGCCATCGGAGCGGGAACGGGGCCCAGCCGCATCTCCGCCCCTTGCCACAGCAGACCACAGCCTCCCACAGACGCACAGCTCTGGGTGCAAACCGCCCTCGGGCACGTCCGGCCCCACACCACCCGGTTGCCACAGCCTCGGCTCTGCGCGGCTGAGTCCAGACCACTGGGCAGCCTTGCCCACGGTGTGCGGCCCCTCCCAAAATCTGTTTCTCATTCCCACAGCAGGGTGCTGTATCCACTCCCCGCAGCGCTTTGCCTGTCTCAAGAATTACACACTGGGCAGGCTGGGCCACGCGGCCGGCAGCAGGGAGCCAGGACAACGCGTTCCATTGTCCCCAGCCACCTTCCCAGCGCCCTGATCGGCAAGAAAATGTCTCAGTGGAGGAGGAAGGAAAACATTCCCAGCCCAGCTCCCATCCCTGCCGGCCACGCCCTCCCTGAGCTCCAAGAGGAGCCTTCTGGCTTGAGCTGTTCCCAGGCAGCGACCTCCACGGGGTTTCCGGGGAAGCCCACCCAGCCCACCCAGGCAGCCACGCACCCCACACGTGGTCCCCAAGGAGCGTCACCGCTGCTGTCCGAGTTACGCAGCATCCGTGTGTGTCTGGCACTGGGCTGGGCTCCTTACATCCGGAGGACCTGCATCTGCTATGATCCCATGGCCCCGCTCCACAGGAAGGAAGGCTGGGGCTGGCAGCTGCCTCAGAATCCAAACCTGGGCCTGTCCAAGCCCAAAGCCCAGTAGGAAACGGAGCAAGTGCCCTGCTGCTGTGGTGAGGAGAGGCGTGGCCGGCACCTGCTCGGGAACTGGGGAGAGCCCCGCCCCCCTGCCACCCCATCTTGGCTGTGGGGGGTCTACAGAGCCCGTTTCCAAAAGGGTCACCTCACAGGTCCTGGTGGACGAGCAGATCCCGCACCTGCAGAGCAGCCTACTCTGAGACACTGGCCACTGTCCCTGGGTCAGGATGGTCGGGGACAGCGGCTGGGCCATGTGGGCCAGGCAATGGCAGAGGCCAGGGTGCCAGCTCCTTAGGGGGCCTTGGGGCCGCCCGCACTGGCTTCCCACGTCCTGACCTGGACAGCTGGTGTCCTAGTCCTCGAACACAGCCCCTGGACAGCCAGTGAGGAGCTGCGCTGGGACCTCTCTGGGCTGCTGCCCCACTGCCCAAGCCCTTGCCATGGTCACCAGGAACCGCCCCACCCTGGTCCGCAGCCGGACACTCAGGGCCGTTGTCTGAACTGTCCAAGCCACAGCCATGGTTCACAACCAGTCCCGGGTGGGCATCGAGTGTGCAGACAGGCGCTTCCTCCTCTCCGCTGCCAAATGCCAAGGCACAGCTCCTGCCTCCCTGCATCTGCCCCACCGGTACCAGGCTCTGGGAGTGCAGGGCAAGAGGGCCCCTGTGAGCGGTGGGACCCCACTCTGCAACTGCACATGCGTACACAGCGATCCTCACCGCAGCCCTCGGGCCGGCTCTGCTTATCCCAGCACAAGAAGGAAACTGAGGGCCAGAGCAGTGATGCATGTGTCCCCAGCGGTCCCGACCCAAGAACCTCCCCGGAACCAAGCTTGAACTTGCCCTGGCCCTTGCCAACACCGGCTCCTCCCTGACTCTGCAACGGGAACACAGTCTTCTGTGCCCTCAGGAGGAGACTCTGTGGCAGGAGGGCTTGCTCTCGGGGCTGTTCCAGAACATCCTGGGTCCACACACCACAGTCACCAATCGGCAGCGCCTCTGTGACCGGCACAGTGTGGAATGGCAGGGCAGACACGCGGAGCTGCGGGCCTCGCGTAGACAGAGCCACTGACCTGAAGGGCCACAGGAGCAGACACAGCCCTGGGCAGGACGCCCTCCCGTGGAGGAGGACAGACTCCTGGGAAAAGAGGACCGGAGAGAGGAGAGGTGGAGAAGGGTATGTCAGGACCCGGGAAAGCAAAGCCAAAAAGGAAGAGTTTAAAAAGACCAAAGCAAGAGGCTGGACATCAAAAGAACCCAAATCTCCCAAAACTGGGCCATTTGGCCGGACCGCCTTTCCAGCTTCCCAGACGTTGCCCAAGCACTGGAGAGGCATGGTGCTGGCTCCGCCTTGCTGTGCCCAAGGCCCCCCACACTTCACCTGCAGGCCCCGGCGTCTGCTCCGCCTCCTGTGGGTCTGCACCTGAAACAAGCTGTCTGCCTCACCTGCCTCCCTCCACGCTTCCCCATCTTGACGCCTTCCCGTGTGTGCAGTCACAATGTCCACCCTCTGGGCACAGACTCAGCTCAAGGTGGCCTCTGGACCAGCGCTCCCCACAGCCCACGTCCCGCCTCCTCTGGACCACACTTGGAGACTGGATGCATCCTGTCAGCTGATGGTTTTCCACCTTGGGCTGGTGACAAAACACTGGCGTCTCCAGGACCCATCTCTTCCCATCAAAAGGGCCTCTGGAAGCCTCGGTGGAAATTGAGGGCAAAGACACAGCTGTGTGGAGCCTCGAAGGGGCCTCACACTGCGGCAGAGGCCAGGACCCCTGTGCTGGGCCAGACCCAGTGCCCCACCCTCAGGGTCACCTGAGCACTCTCTCCCTTAAAACAAAATGCTGCCCAGGAAAGGGGTCCGCTCCCACCTGCCCAGGCACAGCCTTTGCTGTTGTACATCCCACAATCCACTTGGACTATCTTGAGCCAAGAACAATAAAAAGTGAAATAAAATAATAAAAAAGCACAATCAACATCAAAGTGAGGCCCCAGGACACCCTGGGCGGTCCCACAGGACATGGCCCTCAGCCAGCCTGTGCTAGGTTAACGCCTCTGTCACCAGTTTGAAATTCTGGACGACTTTATCTTGGACCCTCTGGACCCTGCTGCAAACCTCTGTGACAGTGTGGGCCCCACAGGAGCACACCCCTCTGACAGGTGGGGAATTCGGGGTGCTTCCTGGTCTGCCTGTGCAAGGTCGAGGGACGCTGTCAGGCGGGAAACTTCAGCCCTGTGGAAGGTCGTTAGCCCGCACTGTGCCTTAGCCTGTCGCGGCTGCTATGAAGCAGCAGCAGCAGCAGGAGCTGGGTGACCACAGAGAGCAGAAGTCACTTCCCCTGTCCCAGTCTGGGCCATTCAAGACGAGGCTCCATCTCTACTTTCAAGATGGCGCTTTGAAGGCCGCATCCTCTGGAGGGCCGAGCAGGCCAGCTGTGCCCCGCTGGTGAGGACACACAGCTCCCCTGCCTCCCCGAGTGTGTGAAGTGGAGGGACACAAACGCCAACCACAGAGGCCGGCGGCTCGGGGCTGTGATGACCCAGGCCAGGGCAGCGCACCTCGCTGCAGCCTCTGAGTTCCAGGCAGGTGGTGGCGCTGGACAAACTAAGAGCCCTCGAGCTGAGACCCCACCTCCCTCCCAGGGCCACAGAGGACAGCATCTCATCCCACCACGCCCAGGTAAGCACAGCACACAGTGCGGACACCCTGTGAGGGCTGGCACCCTGTCTGCTCGGTTCACCACTGCATCCCAAGAGCCCAGCCTGCTGCTGGAGCTCATATTTGGCAAATGAACAGATGAGCTCGGCCTCCTGAAGGTCTCTGTGTCTAAGCACCCCACTCAGAGTCTCCACTAAACAGCACAGTTTAAATAGCTGGCTGGTGAGCATGCCTGTAGTCCCAGCACTCAGGAGGCTGAGGCAGGAAGATCATTGAGTTTGAGACCAGCCTGAACTACAGAGAGAGAACCCTGTCTTAAAAAACAAACAAAAACACAACACAGTTTAAGTATGGTAGCCGTCACATGGGTTGCAACCCTAAAGATCCCTGCAAGTTCCCCTGAATCTGATGACCCACTTAACAGGTGGAGAAACTGAGGCACAGAGGGTTGCACTGTTGCCCAGGTTCCACAGCTAGAGAACCTCACCCAGGAGCCCACACTGGTGCCCAGGGAGGGCTGCTGCTCTG